AGAATGGATTTTTTTTTTTTTTTTTTTTTGGGATCTTTTGTTAATTTGGGTAAGGAAAATGTCACGCCCCAAATAATTTACACAATACAGACTCATCAACTTCCAATTATATTATTTTGTTTCCAATTTAACCCTTCCAATGCTTAACATATATAAGGAATATAAAGTATCAACATCAACCACATCATCAATCTCTATCATGCGTATTCATTAAACTCCAGAGATTTATAAAAAAAAAATATTCCACATGTTGTTATACATCCAACATTCCTAAAATATGAATCTATAACATGTGGCATGACAAGTCAAGTACAAATTAATGCCCTCAAGGACTACAAATTCCAAGGCTTAAGCCTGGATACACCAAAAATAGTTTTTCGAACCGTACATGTAAAGCCTTTGGCTTGTCTAAAATAATTACTACAAAAAGAAAACATCCTTGTGCTCTCCAAATATATTCCACATCTCTACCTCGGCGAGATCACCACATCCTTACCTGCACAAAATCTCACAGGGTGAGCACAAAACCTAGTAAAAAAATCTTAACTAAGTATATACATTTTATACAATCTGTTCTTAATAATTGTTTGACAGGATTTTTTTTATTCAACCATATAAAATTAGCACAATTTAAAATTTTAAAAAAAAGGCTATGGTGGCATTTAAAAACGTCACTATATCCCACCCCCACAACTAGATTTTTAAAATGTATAAATGTCTATGACGGCATTTTTAAAAACGTCGTTAAATGTCATAGTGACGTCACAGTACAGTTAGGGTGGACATTTGGCGGCATTTCTAAAAACGCGGCCTATATTAATATAACGACATTTTTCAAACGCCATAAAGTTATGGCGACGGCCGCGTCGTCGGCGTTTGGTACTAAACGCCACAAAAAGAATTAGCGACGTTTTTAGTACTTTTAGCGGTGTTTTTTAAACGCCGCTAAAAGTGGATTTTCTAGCAGTGCATGTATATGTTACCACTCGTTTATAAACAAATGGAATTAAGAAAGCATAAGCTGTTCTGCCAGTTTTTGGTGATTACTAATTCTAATCTACTTTTATGGATATCTATAAAATCATGCACCTTTCCACAGCATACCAAAGGCATTAAAGGTAAGGTATGAACCAATTATAGATGTTTTGCTGGTGATGGTCAAATATAGCTCCTTTGGTATTTTCCAAAGTATATGTTTAATTAATTTGTTTTCAGTTTTTACATAATTGTCAGAATGCTCTCCATGTGCTAATTCGATTTACTTCTGTTGCAGCTTACGAGCATCAATGGAAGGTTTTCTTGATGCTTTTAATCCCAAGGATTCTGTTACCCCTGCTCGAATTTTTTCTAATCGGGTTGAGGTTAGAGATATAATTAGAGATATAATTAAATTTCATCAAGTTTCTCGCATGTGCATTCACAAGCAGAGACATGTATATGAATGCTTGTCTAACATGTAGTTTTCTTTTATACATGTGCCTTCACAAGCACAGACATGCATATGCACATTAGTTATGTTGGTAGACATATAGAGGCATACTCATGTTTGCAGATTAAACATATTTCTTTCGGCAAATGACAGTTTAAAATTTGCTATATTGTCTTATTTGGAATGCTTTTATTGTAATCTTTGCTTTATACTACGTTTCCACTTATATATAAAAAAAAAAGAAATTATGATTTTCACTGATTATTTGTCAAAATTCCTTATAACAGCGATCAGGTTGCCTTGGTAGTGCATTAGCTGTAATGAAGAAATCATCAAAATTCCTTCCGGTAAGAATCTGAACTTGACATGTTCTCTAAATGTGGTTGAGGTGAAGCATTTTAAGTTAATTAGTTAAATTCAGATCGTGCCAGTTCAGTTCTTGATGGAGTGGCCTTCTATCTCGACAGTTCAATGCATGTTAATTCGTGAATTTGGTGAATTCAGTGAAGGTTTATTGTGATCTGTATTTAAAATACATGAAATTATAACAAGTTTGGATCATTGCTCTATTGTCTCCTCTCCTCTATTTATGATTTATTACTGTTTACATGTCATGTCCCTTACTCATTATCATTTGCCTTGTCTTTTGAACACCTCAATACCTTCAAAGATATATTCGGAAGGATAAAACTATATCCAACATATGCAGGTCATAGGTTGGTCTATGTGATTTTCTGAGTATCTATTTCTTGAAAGAAGCTGGGCTAAGGATGAAAGAACTTTAAAGGTATGGGTGTACTTAATACATTTCTGAACAAATGCTATGTGTTTGTAGGTTTGTGATGCTCGCTTTCAAGGGGCCTTAATTGATCTCATTCAAATCTTGTGGGATTGAATCTGCAGTCAGGTCTTCAGCAGTTACAGGATTTTCCTCTGCCGTTTTGGTTGGCACTTTTTGTAGAAGGAACTTGCTTTACACAGGCAAAGCTTGAAGCAGCTTAGGAGTATGCAGCTTCAGCAGGGTTGCCTGTTCCAAGAAATGTTTTGATTCCTCGTACCAAGTTTGCACATGTGGTAGCACTTGAATTTGGTTTTGAAACTTGTCGGTTTGTGTTGTGGTTTCTAAGTTAATTTTGAAATTGTTTCATGATGCGAGATAAAATTAGTGATTTTCATAGACTGTATTGAGTAACGTTTATTAAATTTGGTGTTAGGTATGAATTTGAACGCCCATTGGCCCCCATGGACACTTTACTTTGATCATGTAAATTTCTAGTTTTATGTTTACAAACTCTCTCTCTCTCTCTCTACACTTGCCCTCTTGTAGGCACTGTTTTTGCTTATGGACAAACTAACAGTGGAAAAACACATACAATGCGAGGCTCAACTTCTGAACCTGGAGTCATACCTCATGCCGTACGTGATTTGTTCGATAGTATACAAGAGGTAGCTGTTATTGTTCAAGCTTTTCATATTTAATAACTTTTCTTTTCATTTTTCTCATCATGTCATTTCTACATGTCCTTTGTCTTTGTGCATTACTAGGTGTTACACGAGATACTATTGTTTGGTCAATTGGGGAAATCTTTCAAATGAGAATAGATCTCAAATATCTAATAGAGTGAAATAGATAAGAAGTCTTCAGTACAGCCCATGGCATTATGTGGTGCATCAGTTAAAAAATTTAGTTTGTCTCCAGAGAAGTCAATTGTTTCTTGGGCTTTCACTTGGCTAGGCATCTACATGTCTCTTTTTCATCCTAATGTGTCTCTAGTAACTCTTTGGATACCACATTACCACTTATTATTTTAAACCTAAAATGGGTAGCTGTTGGCCTGTTCAGCACGGTGTTGCTTTACCGTACACTGCTTCAGGGATGACGGGTTATTCTTCTTGAACTGGACTTTCTTAGTTAATTTGGTATTGATTGAGGACACCAGTGAACTTGGTACTCTTTGTTTGATCAGCATATTGTAATCATTTGTACTGTAACCACTGTTAACTTTTACCATGTTCTGTTCTGGTTCTGATATCGTGTCTTCTTTCAAAGCACCACTTTTCTCTTAAAGTTGTTGATTTGGTTTCTCTTCTATAATCTTAATGCTTTAGGATATGGATCGAGAGTTTCTTTTAAGAATGTCCTATATGGAGATATATAATGAGGAAATAAATGATTTGCTAGCTCCTGAGCACCGAAAACTGCAGATTCATGAAAGTCTTGAGGTACTTATTACTTCCCTCTAGGACCTACTTAACTGATATTGATATCGTTCTGATAAATAATGACTGACTGTCCATTTATTCTGATTTCCTTCATGCATGAAGCGGGGAATATTTGTTGCTAGGTTAAAAGAAGAAATCGTTGCCTCTCCTGAGCAAATCCTTGAACTTATGGAGTTCGGTAAATGTGGGTTTTTTTGAACATTTCTATCCCTTAAATTTCTTCTTTTTAAAGTAGTCTTCAAGGGCATTTCCACCTGTCCTGACACAAACACCCCCCCCCACCCCACCCCACACACACACACACGCAAAGAGTGCCTATGGCACACTTCTATCCCTTGTTCTTATATAAGGTTGTTTCAGTCTTTTAAATAAGGTCACCTTCAACCTTGAAAGTCACTTGCAATTTGACATTTAATTCTTAAATTCATAAGCAAATTATACAATTTAACACTTTCTTTTTCTATCTTTTGGATTTTGATTTACAGCTCATCGACATATTGGGGAGACGAATATGAATTTGTACAGTAGCAGATCACATACAATTTTTCGTATGGTAAAGTTACTAATCTTTCTGATATCCTAATTTTTATAATTGTGCAATCTTGTACGCTTATTTTCCATTTGCATAGATTATTGAGAGTAAGGAGAGAAGTGAAGATGAAGATAGTGGCAGTTCTTGTGATGCTATTCGTGTATCTGTTTTGGTATGCTTCATCAAAATTTTCTATACTTCCTATAATATTTATTTTTGGATTGCTAATAATTGTTAGATATTTGTTGCTGTGATATACAATATTTTGCTTATTTTCTCCATCCATCTCATTTTTTTTGGGGGGTCTATTTTTAGAACTTGGTGGACCTTGCTGGTTCAGAGCGTGCTGCGAAGATGGGTGCTGAAGGTGTTCGTTTGAAAGAAGGTTCTCACATTAATAAAAGCCTAATGACACTTGGAACTGTCATCAAGAAATTGAGTGAAGGTGCTGAGAGTCAAGGGTATGGAGGAGAGCCTTCAAGAACAGGACAAGATAAACACAAGTACGTCTCATAGCTTGTTTTCCAGACATCATAATTGTCTGGTTCATCTATAGCATTACATGATAATAGTGTTTATCCTTTAAAAAACATGTAATTTTTTTTTCTTTTCTCAAGTGGGGTGACATTGTGCTTAGTTTTTGTACCACCACATCGATTACTTTTGTATCATTCATTGATTGCCATTTCAGTTTAGGTTATATTTGTATAACTGAAATGTCTAGTAGTTTTCCTTCTTGTTCCTTCACTAGTATGTCAAAATATGACTCTAGTAGATAGTTGAGCAGTAATAGAAAAAATCTAGTGAGATGTTAGTGCTGGTTAGCAAACTGTTAGCTAGCATTTCAATTCAAAACAATAAAGTTCAACTACACTTCCATCTGCTTGTACTTGCTAGTATATGTACAGACATGATAAAGCGTTGATGCTACATCCTCCATACCCTAGAGTAGATAGCATTAGTAATGGTTGATGCCTTTGCAAGTTGTTACACCATTCAGTTTGTTTGCAAGTTGCATAGTCTATTTTGGCCCACCATTTGTCACTTACTGAAACTCGACATTAACTTTGATCAGGTATGGGATTACACTAATGCATCCTGGACAGCCTTTGCTACTGCTAAAGCAAAGTCACAATGCACACAACCTTCTTGTGGATTTTAGGAATGAAGGTTTGCTCACTTGCATGTTAAACTTTTGTTAGAACAAAGAAGCTTTCGTATTGTGCCATCCCTGTGTTCTGTTGTTTTACTGTCAGGATTTATATCAAATCTATGGTTCATTTCCATTGTTATAAGATTTTGTAAGTTGCTTTTAAATGTGTAATTTATTCATTTATCTTGTTCTTTCAGTGCAAAATGTGTTCTAAGACTTATGGAGACTACGTAATTAAATGTTATGAGAATCCAATAGCTCTCTCTCTCTCTCTCTCTCCTGATGTTTGTAAATTGGTTGAAGAGGTATTCATGATTTTAAGTCTTGGTATCTAGGCAGCATGCATTTACAAGGGTTCTTATGTTCTTAGGCAGAGGAAATGCCCTTTTAGTGGAATTCTGCATATATGAAAAACAATTACGACTTTCAGAACTAGCATTTAAAAACAGTAGAATAGTTTGAAAAAGTTGAGATCAAGTACCCATGAATGTTATATGCCTTTGGATCTCATTCCATCAATACTATCAGTATAAGTAAACAGAAGACAATTCTATAGCTTATCTCATTGCATCAATACTAATTTACCGTGCTTTGCATGCCATATTCTATTTGTCAGTTTAGTTCTTTTTGTTCTTTCAATATTTAGCTTTCAATTGATGACTTAGCTCTCACAATGTTGGGGTTTATGAATAACAGGGCAGCAGCACCTGCAGCTAAGAACACAGGTATTCATAAGTAAATACTCGGTGTAATTGACTTACAATATTCACATTGTGTGATTAATGTGTCCTGTTGTGTGGTAATAATGAAAAAGTGAAGTTGATAATACTCTTATTTTGGTGTTTGAACACATTATTCGTTACTTTATTTGTTGAGGGTTAGTAAGATAATATTTTGTTTTCTCCATTTTTATTTTTGTGAATATTGCAGACAGAAGAAATAATCAGATTAAATGGAATCTACAAGCGGTTACTTTCAAATGCTGGGGTTAAATTATATGAAGGAGAGGGAAAGATAGTTGGTCCAAATGAAGTTGAGGTGACGCAACTAGATGGTACTAAAATATGCTATTCAGCAAAACACATACTCATTGCAACCGGCAGCAGGGCTTATCGACCGGCTATTCCAGGGCAGGTAAATCTTCTGATTTTTATTATGACACGAATGGAAAGTGACATAACATGATAATCGTATTCTGGATATAGGTGGTTCATCTTTCTAGCTTGGCTGTTCTTTTATGTGCACTTTTTGCTGGGAACACCACTACAAACATTTTTAACTGATAAATTACTTGAAAAGAGTGAAACCATCCACTATTGGTGTTATATAATTATCTTGCATATTTTTTCTCCCATCTTTATCTAACTACTTATTTTGTTTTGTTATTTTTTGGTTGGCATTATAGGAGTTAGCTATAACCTCTGACGAAGCCTTGAGCTTGGAAGAGTTACCTAAGCGTGCTGTCATACTTGGGGGTAGAGCTCTTGTGCGAGTATCATTCAACAGTAATCTGCAGAAGTCGGACTACAATATGGTAACGGCTGATCCTCTTCAAATCCTGGAAATATGTGCCTTTAAAAGCAGATATTCCTTTCTTTCATAGGATATTAAAACCTTATAAGAAATTTATTTTTGAATCACTCAGTTCTCTGTGTCTGAGATTGTTTTACTTTTACATGGATAATTTTAGTTTGGGCTGCATGTGAGCTTATTTATGATTTTCTCTCTGTTCCAATGAGTTCATAATAATTCTAGATTATGTTTAAATAAGTCCTCAATTTCTTATTTTTTTTATTCTGCTTTCAGTGCAAGCCTTTTCTGGTATTTTTTATGTAGTCCTCTTTGCAATTTAAAATCACTGTTAAATTGTGAATTTCTTCAGAATGCAGTTGGTTCTCATTTATACCCTCAGAATCCAGTCCTCCGCCTTGGAAGTCATCTCAACTTCAGTGTAGAAGGTTGGTGTATGATAAAATTTTACATTAATTTTTAGTTGGTCACAACTAAAACTCACAAATCCATTTCGGAAATCTAGATCTAAAAGACAACATTGAATTAATGTTTAAAAAGCCATACTAATTGTATATGTCAGGTAGAAATCTTAATCTGAAATTGATGAATAATTCAAATGCTATTTTTTTTTGTCTGAAATCTATACTAAACCATTGGAACAGCTTAGCTCAGCTAACTCTAATCCTTAAGTTGGATATGCCCAGTAGTTGTAGGAATGCCATCAAGGATTTATCCGTTGGGTTAAGCTTGAAAGCTCAAACATTGAGTGTTTATATTTAAGAGCTTCTTCCTTCCATGCTATTGGAGAATATAGAGAAGCGGTATTAGGGATTCTTTTTCTTGATTTTCCCATTTAAACTACTGGGCACCATGCTCAATTCTTCTTTGCTTTGGTTTACTAAATTTCATTTTATGATAAAGGTGAAGGATTATGATGCAGAAAATTACAAATTATATGAAGAAGTTGGAGAAGGTGTCAGCGCCACTGTTCACCGGGCTCTCTGCATTCCTTTGTGTTGACTGGGATTTGGGAATGTATCCTGCTCAAAATTGTCTATTGAATACGAATCCCTATTCTGCAGTGTAATGATGTGTAATATGCTTGACTATTCCATTGCATCTGCATGTGCAAGCAAATGACTTAACCTATTTTTTCTTTTTATTTTTTGATTGTGTTTGTTGTTTGATTTTGGTTCAGACACAATCATGTAATGTTTATTTAGTCAATATATTGAAGTAGCTGTAAAATTTTATTCATATTATTGTTATTTTTCAGCTTTATTACAGATATGTTTTTTAGTTAAATATAACAGATTCAGAACAATTTTTTTTAAAAAAAAAGAGCTATAACGGCGTTTTTTTAAAACGCCACTACAGTGCCAACGGACATTTTTTAAAATGAAAAAATCTATCACGGCGTTTTAAAAACGTCGCTAAATATTGGATGACGTCATTTTATCATTATTTATCGCATTTAGCGGCGTTTTTAATTTTACGACGTTTTTAAAGCGTCATAAACTTATAGCGACGGTCGCGTCCTCGACGTTTGGTGATAAGCGTCACTAAAGGAATTAGCGGCGTTTTTCATACATATAGCGGCGCTAAAAGTCATTTTTCCAGCAGTGTGGTTTTCATGACACGTAGCAGGACCCAAATTGAAATTGTGATCTACAATTACAAATAACAGGTATTTCGATTTAAAATGAAAAAAATAAATAAATAAATTGTTAGAAGAGATTTAAATATTATAATGTGTTATATGTTTTTTTTTTTTTCTTTCCCTCTAAGTTTTTTTTTTCTTTCTCTAAGTCTTTGCCTAAGTCAAGTCTTTTTCTTAGCCAGCAAGGAACACCAAGCTTCCTCTCTTATCTTTATTCTCTAAGCAACATCCAAGAATCTTCCAAGAAACTTGTCCACCAAACTTTCATCTCCTTTAAATTGAGCTAACCTCTTATCTTGGAAGATAAGAAGAAATTTTTGTTGTTTTATTATGTTTGTATGAGATTATCAGGCAAAGAAATAAAGGGTATATGTGATGAAACTTTGGGTTCAACGAATTGTGCAGTATTGCTGAGCCATACGACTTAGTCCGCTATTGTATCTTAAGGGGACAAGTCCAGATTTTTTTTGCTGCACCGGTGTGAGTCTCTGTTTAACCGCAGAGGGCTTGAATCTCCTTAAAGAGAGCGAATTTCCTATGCCTAAACCCTTTTAGTAGTTATTATAATTTTTATTATTTGTATTTTCTGATATTTTATTTGTAATTATCTCCGACATAAATAAATTCACAAAAGTCACACCTTTTCATAAGAAAATTATGTTCGTATATCTTCACTTATGTTTCTTTTGTCAACCCCGTAATTGACTTTGGCTAAGTTTGGAAACTTGTAAAAAAGTCAAAAAGCTAAAAAGTTACTCAAAAAGTTAAAAAGTTAACACTATTCATCAAAAGCCAACAATTACGGCTGCATAACTCCCAATTCGAATTTTTCCCTATAAATCAATTTTTACAATTTTTTATTACACATTTTTCCATAAAAAGTTAAAAAGTTAACCCAAACATCCATATTTTCAATCTCAATTTTTTAGTTCAAAAAGACAAAAAATATACTTATTTAGGACACCCCAAACAACCCCTTTAGTTGACCTCTCATCTTGCAATGCATGAAAATCAAACTGGAGGAGTGTTGGGAATTAGGGTTTTCGTTGCCGGGTCGCGTACACTCGGGAAGGTAGGAAGAACTTCGCTGTCTTGTGGCCTCACAAATCAAACGGAGAGCTGACGCAGTACAAGATTGAGAGGGTTGAAAAACCTCACCACAATCCTCTATCATTTACACCTTCAGAGAATTTTAATGATCCATGAGACCCTAGAATAATATTAGATATCATAAAAAAAAAAAAAATCATGAAATGTATTATGTAGATTTTTCATCATTTGATTAATTTATGATATTTTATTATATATATAATTCAAAGATAGAGAATTTTTCATTATCATCTTCATTATATTTTCTTCATGATCCCTAACATTACTCATTTCGTTTCATTTTATTAGATGTTTTGTGTGTATTTCATTTATAGAAAAAGCTAAATATCCAATAATCATAACATCTTCATCTTAGTACATTTGTCTCCCCCCCCCCCTCCACCAAGAAAAAAACAAAAAATATTATTTAATAATATATACATCGTCTATTTTTTTTATAAACAAATGTGATAAAATAAAAATATTATAACTATCCGATTGACTTAATTTTTATTTTTTTATTTTTATAAATGATATATATTAATGATCTTATAAAACAGACGGTTCAAATACCTGTATTGGATCCTATAAGCCCATCAAATTCTCTCAAGTTCATATTAGAACTTAAGAAAAATTCAACTCATTTTTTATTAATTTTATTTATCATTTGCATGACACATTTATGTGTATTTAATTAATAAAATTTAAAAAGTTACTTTTTCCTAACATTTTTAAGTTTAGTTTTTCTTGATAAAATTTTTTACTTTTTTTTCTTTCAAATCCTTCTAGTTTAAAAAGTAAATTTTTTAATAAAAAAACAAATAAATAATACAAAATACCTTCTTTTTTTTTCCATTTAGTAGACTTTTTTTCAAATTTATTTATTTATTTAGGACCTTTTAGTCAAGTAAGACATACAAGTGAAAAGTTTTTTTGGAATTTTTTTTTTAAAAAAGTTTACCCAAAAAAAAAAATCAACAAAATTATTACTAGAAAAACAATTGGCAAACAAGTCATAATCACGATAGGTGTGCTCTATTATCATGTTTGATAACCGAATTAAAATAAGGTTGTGAATATTCGCTTTAAATTTTTTTTATACCCATTATATGTATTTATAACTTTTTAATTAAAAAAAATCTGATACATGAAAATACAGAAAAATATTTGTGCACTTATTTTAGAAGACACATTAGAAGGATGAATTACTCTTGCTTAGAGGACGAGACATTAGAAGAATGAGTTACATGAAAATTTTCGAAAAATTGTCTTTCGAAAATTTTGTATTGATAATGTGCTTTGACAAATAACATAATTTATATGAATACATGATCCTAAAAATAAGAAAATAGTAGATAAGTTATAAAATATTATTAGGGCACACCAACATGTAATATTTGAGACTTACTAAATAATTCCTGCAATAGAAGGAAATTAGGAGAGAAAAATATGTAGGTCATAGTTGTCCTACTCCATTGTTTGTCTGGCCATTTTTTTAGTTTATGATAACTTCTAAGAACATCTCCAACGGTTCAGTAAAATTTTCATTAAATCTGAGTAAAAAAAAGGTAATTTTCTCAATCTGATATGAGCAGCACCAACCATTTCATTGTAGCGTGCATCAAAACAAATGGGACATCCGATGAGACGACCGGCTGGTCGACCGTTCCAGACAACTGAAATTTGGGTCTAGTTCAGTTGAAATCCAATGCAAAGAAGTTGGAGATGGAGATGGAGGGTTCGCTAGATCTACAGAATTTTGGGAGGTAAAATGGGTAAAATTGATGTGTGTGAGATTGGGAGGGATAATGGTTACATATGAGGTCAAATTTTTCTGGGTTTGTGTCAGAATTTGGTGAGTGTTTCCGTGGAAGGTTAAATTGGGATGAACAGAGGCAATATAAGGAATCAAATTCTCATTGATTCGAGTTTGGTTACTGAGTTTGAAAACAAGAAAATCATTATGGAAACTACTAACACTCCATCTATTAATCCCCCAAATGATCAAAATTCCGAGAAAAACTGACAAAGTTAGGACCTTGAACGACCAATGAATCATCGGATTCAATTGGAAAATGCATGAATATGGTGGCACAGAGTTCGCAGCTTTTTCTAGCATCGGAGACACACACACACACACAAAAAACCAAAAACTAAGTGAGCTTACACTAATGCTTCACTGTGCAGAGAAAAAACATGGAGAAGAAACCTGAAAGTTGTCTTTGCTTTCAATGCAGCTCGAAATCTCTCTATTCCTGGAAAATATTAGTATATATGTGTGAATATTAGTATATATGTGTATATAATCTGTATAGATACAGATATGTGTGTGTGGAAGGAGAGAAAGTGGAGCATTATTTGTATGCAAGGGACGACCGGTGGGACAACCAGCCGGATGTAAGGCCGGTCGTCCAGTGGGCCTACCTCCAACGTATACGCACAGTGAAATGGTGAAATCTCACGTTGGTCCTCAGTTTGGTAAATTTTTTGCTCCGTTCTCAATTTGGTATCAGTTTGGTGAAACTATTGGAGAGAGAAAAAGTGACTTTTTCATCAAATTCAAATCTGATGTTCAATCTGATGCAACATTAGAGAAGGTCTAATACTACCTTACGGAAATAACTAATACGACCTTATTGGATTTGTTAGGATTAAGTTTCTCTTAACAAGGCATTTTACTTATTATAAAAGAATTATACAATAATTTACACAAATAATGATATTGTCAAATACAAATATTTAAAAATATATATATACATATATATATATATATATCGGATGCATATCTCATACTCTTGTCTAAGTGTAAGGTATCTCACACGTGTAGTTGATTCATTTTAAGCAATACATATAACACAACTTAATTTTTTGAAATTCCATGAAGTGCCTAAGTAATTGTAAGGGTCTTCCAAGGACTTCTTTATTGATTTCAAGCATGAAATATCATTCCCAAATCCATTGGATACTGTGAAAAAGTTGCTCATAAGTGACAACCAGACAACGGTTTTGAGGACAGTACTAAGGACTCTTGCATTGAAACCCATTTGCATGAAAACCTCTTGGTATTGATTGGTAGGTAGGGGGAAAAAAATGAAATATTTGAAGGAGTCAAGTGGAACTGTAAGATATGGTCTCTGGATTGGAACTCATAGCACCAAATACATTGGAAAAATTAACGATTTGGAAGATAAAGCTTCAGAGACAGGGACTTGTAACAACAAACATTGTGTGGGACACGTGTACAGAAAACGTGTTGTCTGCTGTGCTGTGC